AGTTTCATAATACAATACATGTACTGTACCTAGTTACAACCGCTAATATAGAAAACAACAGCTAATTAGTATCAACAGTTAATGTAGCATACCGGTACTTCACAGCTAATGTAGTATTAAAAATCCCCGCTAATGTAGAAACACCAGCAGCTTATGTATTAACGGTTGTTAATGTAGCCATGCATGAAGGTCTGTAAAGTTTAAATAAAATGAAAGTGAAAAATGAAACTGGAATATAGTTGGACTGTTATACCATTGTGTGGTATGGATTATTTACTTAATGTTTGGCCTTAATTTCCAAGTCACTCTGACACTCCACTTGAGGATGTTAGGCCTATTTCTTTTATTTTGGTTGATCGGTATTGAAAGGTTCGTTTTCCTTGAGTAATCCCCCAGTTTGGTAAGATTTTACTACTTTGACTTCGAGTGCATATGTGATGGACACCATCATTAAACATTGAAAATAAAATATGATGGTGCATAACCATGTAAACACTTAAATACAACCACAAGTAAATGTTCTCTCCATCTTTCATTTAGTGATTTCCAGCTTAATGTACAATAGGCCCTATGTAACATATCACTCATTGGAATTTTTATATCTACAGATTAGCAGAACTTTACCTAATCTGTTTAGTAAAATCTGAAGTGAATTACCGGTAAGTTTTGAGTATTACGCTAACGAAAACATTGTTATGTCCCGACTTTCCCTTGTATGCGTTATTCAAAATGATGATAATCGTTATGTTATAGTTCCAATTACGTTTAGGTTAAGTATCACGTTTAAGGAAGTGTTCGAAACGACAGGTAATTTTTAAAAAAATATTATTATTATTATTATTATTATTATTATTATTATTATTATTATTATTATTATTATTATTATCATTACCATTATCATTATTATTATTATATTATTATTAATTTGTGTAAAAATCAAATCAGACCAACCGAAAATGAGTCAAGATTCAAAGTTTAAGATTTCTTTATTTGTCAAAAAAAAAGGAGATTTCTGGCGGGAGAATTTTCATTTCAATAAATAAAATTTCATTTCATTTATTATTTTCAGGCAATATAAAATACAAATAGACAAAGACACAAGACTGAGGACAACCTAAAGTAATCTTAATTACAGTACTATCGAGCGGCTCTCCAAAACATACATAATAAAAAACCTTATTTATCATACAGGTAGCCTACGGTACGTAATGTCAAGCTCCGTTAAGCCCACCTTTTGAATAAACCTAGGCCTACGCAGACCTTCACACTTGGAATACACGGGGCCTTAAGTGGTCATCATACCCACATATTTTGACGTGACCTCACCTTTACGTAGCGGAAACAAATTAATCTCGTAATTAAAAAAATAATTATAGAATGACTGTTTCAGGCAAATGAATATAAAGTTCAAGTTGATATATTTATTTTATTTACTGAACATATTTAACATGGATGGCATTATTATGCAGAGTATGTTCTTACAAATGGTTCATTTTCTAAAACATACTAATACAGTACTACTAATAATAATAATAAAAAAGTACGTTAAAACAAAACAATTTTCTTTATCGCAGACTTCTTATAATTTTAAATATAAATCATTTAGTGTACATAATCAAGAATAAAAAATCAACTCAAAATGAATAAGAAAATAATAATAATAATTGGTTGGATTTTAACTGTTTGCCAGTCTTCAAATGCATTTCCTTTTTTCATATTGGACAATAAATTATTTCAGTATTCAATGTACGTAACACATATACTTTGCATGTGTTCATCGAGAAGATTATGACACAAAATGGACGGTGTGTACCACGTGACTTTCGCAAACCAAGGAGCGGAATGTCGCAACTCTTTA